TCTGGGGTGAGCATTCCAAAGGGCAGGGGAATGGGGAAAAAGGGCTATAAGAGTCAAGTTTCGGAAATCTTGTCTGTTGTTTGGCTCACCCAGCTGTTTGGGGTTGTATCCTTCTGATGCTGTAAAGCAAAGGAAAGCTGAAGTAAAATCATAAACACAATCACAATCATGTGATTTTCCACTCAGCGACCACTTCGCTTAATGACCGAGTTGACAGTTCCAATTGTGGTTGCTAAATGAGCACTACCCGTAATTGCTGATTTCTTCAATTACAATTTAAAAATTAGATTTGTATCCTTTCGTTTCATCCTTTCAGAATCAGATTTCCAAATTCTGAACTACCTGGGGTAAACAGGTTTGCCTACACATTTATAATTTTTTATATGGCAAATGCAAACCCATACCTAAGTTGCATATACTTTACATCTGACATGAATCAAGGGGTAAATTTTGCTGAGTAAAATCATCATAGAACTCTGCAATTTTCTTTGAACTTTATCAGAATTTTTTGGAAAAAAGCAGATACAAAAACAACCCAGTCATGAAGAACTTTCCCTTGAGAAAGTATTTGTAAATCTTCCATTGCTCTTTTATTACAAAACAAAATTTCATCAACATCAATAAAGCAGTTTGGCTTTAAGAGCAAATTTGTGTTTGTAAAGTGCTCATATCAGCCATCTTAGCTGTTGTCTTTCATTTCAGAATCAAAGCCATCCTGTATACATGTGAAAAGTAAAGTGGCCCAGAAGGATTTCCAGTATAGCTCATCACCCCATGTCTATCCAACGTACTGCTCCCCACTTCATTCCCAATCACTCACTCTAATTGCCATGTCTGTTGTCTCCTCTGCCTTCCCGCAGTCCTTATCAGTGCTCTCCTGTCCACTCTCCTCCAATCTCACTCAACCATTCACCTGCTTAAAGGCTGAAACTTTTCTAAGTATTCCAAAATGAAAAAGAAAACAGACCTGCAAACCTGGGGGAGGAGGGTATCTATTAGTAGAGGAAAACTCTTTTTCAGTGTTATAATCTCATCAGTAATTTTAAGAACCATTACTCTCTTTAGACCAAAGAGAAGACGTGAGAAAGGCCTCTAGTGACAAATACATAGTGTCAAAGATGCCAACAACTAGAAAAACTGGATAAAGTTATCTTAAAACAACCTTTTTTTCATCTAACTTTCTTCCCACTGTTGACATCAAACCAAATCCATCACTGATTAATGAAATAAAATAGCCACAAACCACTGACTTTTTCATGTTTACCCTTTGCTTACACTTTGAAGCAATCTCTACATAATTCCATAACCATCTAAGCCAGCTAAGATACAAAACAAACTAAGGGACTGATACCTATTTTTGTACAAAAGCTCCAATTGTAAAAGTGCCAGTTAAATACTTTTATTCTGGTTTTCATTTGACTGTCTTTTGAACAACACATCCTCAAATCTACACACAAAATTAGTGAAAGAAAATACTTACAGGAACATTAACTGCATAATGAAGCCCTTGAGGAAGTCTGTCTTGTCCCTCCATGTCATCATCATTTTTCACCGTCTCTTCATGGACCATAAGTTCATCATGTGGGATCATTTCTTGTTGTCTGAGTTCACTTTCTTGTAAAACTTCATCTGCAGAAAGAATTTCTTGACGTGCCATAGCCCGGTCTTGAAGCACTGCTTCTTGCCGTTCTACAGAAACTGCCGACTGGTCAGAGGTGGCACCCATTCCAACCATATCCCTCGATGATGGCATTTGTTCTATGCTACCACATTTAAGAAACAATCCTCCTAGCTTATCTTCAATGTTCATTCTTAAGTGCAATAACCTATAAAATGAAATTAATAAACTAAGTTGAAAAGTATGTATGAGATACTCAAGTCTTGCTAATAGCACTGTTGAAAAGATTAGAGTATTTCCTGACTAAGTGTGGGGAACACAATATACTTTACTGATTAGACAAATCTAAGTACAAGATATTTGTTAATTCTGCTGCCTCTTTAATTTGGGACAATCCAGTAGAAAATACCCCCTTCATGGATCACTGCCTTGTCATGGCGAAGGGGCTTGCGTAACTCAGTGAAGCC